AAGCCCACTCGAGGGTGGCAAACCCACGTCTTAGCCTACTTGCGAGTAGCACTTTCAAACCATTTTTAAACAAACACGCGATGCTTTGTTCCAAATTAGGCGATCTCGTCTATACTTGTGTGTTGTGTGCATCACATAGTAATTCTAGCTAATTAATCGGAATAAGAACGCACATGTTTTCAAAAACAAGATATCATGTTTAGTAGTGGCCGATCTTTGATTGGGCGAGCGGGGGTGCTCATTGCATGACCTTCCCCAATCGTACCCAAGTTCCCGAGCCGAGGCAACTTTGGTAATGACGGACACGTGGCCTTAGGCACGAGTTAGGTTTTCCTAAATTCTCCCAAAATAAAATATTTAGGTGGCGACTCTATATCTGGCAAAACAGTCCATGTTTGGCACTTCTTTCTTAAAAATCAGTTTTCCAAAACGATTTGCCGGATTTGGACTCTTTGGTTATTTATCGGTCTCGCATTGCACTTTGCGGGATTAGATTCAGAACCGTGATATTTGAGTCCGAACTATAGCATAAGGCCCTCGGGGCGCGTCTACAATAGGGCTATCCACTGCTCCCTCGTCAATGATGGGTCAACTCTAGTAACTGCTCGCCCATCAATCCGTAGATCATATAGGACAGATACGTCCTGCAATGTGACGGTGGCCTCCCTGATCGGGAAATGGAATGTATGAGTCTCTGTCCGCCACCTCTCGATGAGAGCAGTGATGAGTGGGTGGTCCAGTCGAATATGCCCGATACGGTACACACCATAGAATCCCACGCGTAGTATATACTGCAAGATTCTATGGTCCAACGGATGCTCCCACAATCCAGAATCTGCCCGGCGGCAGGTCAGCACGATGCATGCCTCGTCTTGCACAACAGAATGACTAGTTAAATAATAGCATTATCACGTAATGTAAAACAAAATGCAGGGTATTTTAATTGTAAGCGTAAAGTCCAATAAACGTTATTGCATACCGGACGGTCCCATATACTGTCAGCCCGATGTGCCTGACTAAACAATGGAACCTCCTCAGGTACATGTGTCATGAAGCCTGTACAAGTGAAATACTAGATCATAATAATAAAAATCTCATTTAATCATAACAAAAAAACTGTAATTATTCTATGAATTACGATTTGTAAAAAAAAAAAAGTATACTCAGCTATTTCAAAATTTAAATTTGTGTGATACTATATATGGAAGCAATTGACTAAAATGTAATTAATTTTTATTTCAAAAACCTCTATTGGTTAACTGTAATTTAACTATAACAATTAAACTCTAATTAATTCCATACATGACGACTTAAAAAAAAATGTGCTCGGTTATTTTAAAATTATAAATTTTTGTGCCACTAACATGGAAGCAATTCACTAAAATCTAATTATAATCAATAAAAAAAAAACTCTAATTATTCCATAATTTATAATTTTTAAATATATATATATATATATATATATCTATTTGTACTTTAAGATTTAAAATTATGTGTCATTAAATATGGTAAAAATTCAACAGAACCTACCGTTATGTATGCTATAACTAATATAGAAATCTTTTCGAAAATAAATTATAAAATTTTAAATTACATAAATTTATTCATAAATTGTAAATGTGAACAATGGTTGCAGCATTCGAAAATATTAAATTTATTTATAAATATTAAATTTTCAAATGGTAGAAGAACTACGTGATTAAGTATAGAATTTTGTAATACACATTTTGTATCAAGTACACAGTGAAAAACTTAGGGCTATGTGGTACAGTTAAATGTTTTTGCATATATATTTAGTTTAATTTATTTGCTTAGTATGTTGTAATTTTTTTTTAATATAAAACAATTACAATATATAAAGACTTAAAAATTAAAAATGATCTATTACAAATAAAAAAAATGATCTATTTAAATGTACGACCCCGTTTACAAATAAAGAATTAAATGATCTATTACAAATAAAGAATTTCAAAATGATATATTACAATATGTAAGTATTACATAGTCTTTATCAACCAAGTCGCGCCGGACATATTCGCCTGTCATGACCTGTCTGCTGGCACTCATTGCAACAAGCAGTCAAACGCCTATCTGATATATCCATCTCATTCGGAATACGAGACATAGATGTACGACCCCGTTTTTCTTCTCGCAGACGAAGTACATTAGGCATTAAGGTCCACTGCGGATCATCCCAATAATCTTGATGCGGTATTGGATTGAATTTAGTTTCCCAAACCCTCATGTATACAGGAAGCCTATATACTGGATCAACGTACTCGAATGGATTGTCACCCCATTCAGACATTACAGCGAACATATGGGAACATAGATAGTGTCTTATCTCATATTTCCCACAACTGCACGTGGGTTGATTCATTCGCACAATTTGTCCATTGCGACCTCGTCCATGGCTAAAAGATGTTTGCACCTCAAATATGTGGCGGGGCCTATCAGACAATATTGATACAAACTAATCAAGTTCATCTTTTTAGGTGTAATTAACTTAACAACATAATAATAACCATTTAGTTCACATTACAAACTAACTTGTCATACGATATCAACTGGAAAGTATTTCCCCTTGCGATGCCCTCCTCGATAGTTTTTTGCATCTCTCTAGGGTATTGGAACTCATTCCGTACATCTGTTTCAGCTTGGGCTCCCATTTCGTCAAAATATTTGACGAGCCGTCGAAATGTAAATTCAACCATAGCTGAGATAGGTAAGTTCCTTGCACCTTTCAAGACGTTGTTGAAGCACTATGCATCATTGCTGGTCAATACCCCCCACCAATATCTACCGTCATATGCAATGGCCCACTTCACAAGATTCATCATGTGGACCCAATCGATGACATCTTGGTTAATAGCCTGTATCTGTTCTAAGTAAGCATTACACTTTCGTCATTGATCAGCACTCTCTGCTTTCCATTGAAGTTGTTTCAGCTCCTTATTTTTGAACTTTTTGTTAAAGTTACTACAAACATGTCGAAGGCAGTGCCGATGATATCCAACAAATTGGAGCGAGGGATTCAGCCAATTCCGCCTCACAGCAGCTAGAATACTCTCAGCTCGATCAGATATCAAACTCACTCCCTGTCGATCCATGACAATATATTCCTTGATATTTGAAATGAAGAATGACCAAGACTCCATACTCTCCTTGTCGACAACAGCGAATACAAGCAGTAATACTTTGCTATTGGCAGTGACAATCGTTGCTACAAGCAACACACCAGTGTATTTACCGTATAAGAATGTACCATCTATGGTTATAACAGGCCTATAATATCTGAAGCCATCGATGACGGGTTTGAAAGACCAGAAAACAAAGTGGAAGACCGGCATAATGATTGTATGCCCGGTATATCTATGCTTCCATTGAACGATGGTGCCAGGATTAGATGCCTGTAATGCATGCATGAATTTAGGCAACTGCCTATATGATTCATCCCAATCCCCGAATACCATTCTAATTGCCTTTGCCCTTGCATGCCACGCCTTCTTGTATGATATACTATAATTCATGGTCTTTTTGATATCTTTGATGACATTCTTAATTGGCATATCAGGTTCATTCTGCATGCGACAATCAAATATGAGTTGGATTATTTGGGTGTGAACACTATAAACAAACAAATATGCATATATATATAAACATTTATTTTTTATACTAACCGCAACTTGTCCCAAAATATGAAATGTAACTGGAGCTAATATTAGTGTGGTCCCTGTTCATTCGTGGGTATAAACAATGGTGAGGACCCCCTGTACTACTTTATTTCAAAAAGACCATGTTTCCTACTAAGAGATGCACGCAACCACCAACTGCAATCGTGCTTGCAAGCAGACACCCAAACGTCTCGCTTGGAGGTTACGACCTTATGCTCTCGATTATTTGTTGCATGGTATAATTTCACAACATGTACAAGTTGCTTCTTATCAACGAATACCATCCCTTTGTCCAACTCTGGATTTTCAGCGTTCCAGATCCGGTTACTGGGAACGACATCACGGCTACTCATGTCAAAATCACCACCTATGTGAATGTTCTCATAGAAAGGGATTTCAGCTCTAGGTGGAATGGGGGCATTTTCAGGGTCAACGGGAGCGTCGGCACCATCTTCTTCATCATCATCATCTGATCCGCCCAATAAATTTTCCTCATCACACATTTCATTCTCATCATCGTTTAGGGCGACATCAGGACCGTACATGCCACTGTCAGCAAACTGCACATAGTTCATTGTTTCAGCCATATTACCAGCAACTTCAACTGGAGTGGTATGATGGCTACAGGTGGGCACATCTTCTGTGTTATTGTCAAATTCATAATCATATCCAGCACGTGAACTTGATTCTACACCATGGCCCTCAAATGACTGTTGTGTGTAGCCCAGTGGATAACATTGATCTGATTCATACATAGGAGACTGAAACGCTGTTGTGTCAATCCCATACGTCAGCAATGTAGTGAACGGACGAGAATCCATATGTGTCATGTTCGGAGGCTGTAGAAGTTGAAGGCTTATCTTTCTGTGATTATCTTTTGTATTGCATGTATATCAAGCCAAGAGCGTATTTTGTGTATAGAGTTAGAACTCTACTTTTGTTGAACCCAAGTGTTGACTTAGAAAGTTGTAAGCCTATAAGGCGTTTACTTTTATTGTCAACATGTAATACATTTTGTAAAGAATACTCTGATGAAATGTAATTATGCTTTTTCCTCTTATGTCAAGAATGTATGATTGATGTGTTTATTTTGAGGGTGTTACATGTAAACTGCATAAAGCCTTGTATGGGCTTAAGAAAGCTCCTCGGGCATGGTTTTCTACATTCTCCACTTTCCTCTTGTCTCAAGGTTTCCTTTCTAGTCATTGTGACTCTTCTTTGTTTATTAAGAAAACTGCATCTGCCATCACTATTCTACTTATATATGTTGATGATATTTTTCTAACTGGGAGTGATGTCTCTTATATTACCTCGTTGCTTGCTCAAATGCATAAAGTTTTTTCCATGAAAGAGTTGGGTTTCCTCAATTATTTCTTGGGCATCTCTGTTCACACTTGTGCTGCTGGTTTCTTTTTGCACCAATCTAAGTATGCCACTGAGATCTTAGCCAAAGCTGGAATGTCCAACTGCAAGCCCTATGCCTCTCCCATGGCTACTAAATCCTCCAGCTTTCCCAACTCTGATCTTCCTTTTGCTCAGCCTGCTTTGTATTACAGTATTGTTGGGGCTTTTCAATATCTAACCATTACTTGCCCCGACATTGCTTTTGCTGTCAACTCTGCCTGCCAATATATGCACGCTCCTTTGGTTAGTCATTCTAATGCTTTCAAACGCTTATTGTGTTATTTGAAGGGTACTCTTGATAAGGGTCTTCAGTTTCAGCTCGGTCCTCTTGTTCTCACTGCCTATTCTGATTCCGACTGTGCTGGGAACGACATTGATCGTAGGTCGACTACTGGTTTTTGTATTTTTCTGGGTCCCAACTTGGTTTCTTGGTCTGCAAAGAAACAACCTACTGTTTCTCGCTCCTCCATTGAAGCAGAGTATCGCGCTCTTGCTCAGACTTCAGCCGAGCTTAGCTGGCTTGGCATGCTTCTTCGGGATCTTCACATTCCTCTTGACCCACCTACTCTATGGTGTGACAATCTCTCTGCCATTACTCTGTCTAGTAATCTTGTTTTCCATGCTCGGTCTAAACATATTGAAGTGGACTGTCATTTCGTCCGTGAGCGTATTGCTTCCAAAAGTTGATTATCAAACATCTTGCTACTGCTGACCAGATTGCTGATATCCTCACCAAACCCCTTTCAGTTTCTCGGTTTAACTTTCTTCAACACAAGCTTCTGGCTCATTCTTCTCCTGTCAGCTTGCCGGGGCATGTTAAGCAAACTCAGTTGCAGTCTTCACAGTTGCCTTCACAGTTGCAGTCTTCACCTTCACAGTTGCAGCCTTCATCTTCAACACTGCCGAAGCAGTTGCACCAGCATGATCAAAACAACTCCACCTCATCTGAAGTCTGTTAGATTCGTTAGCACTAGTTAGTCTTAACTCTAGCAGTTGTAAAGTTGTTAGAACTATAGTTAAATGTAACTATAGTTAGGTAGAGTATATTAGTTTATAAATACTGTACATGATCAAGTGAGATCAATTAGAATATTAATAAAAAAAATCTGTTTTGACTCTTCTCTGCTTTATCTTTATGTCTTGAATCTGCTTTAGATTCAACAAAAAAACATAAAAAAAACCAAACAAACAAACAAAACAAAAACGTGGGTGCGTGTGGTGTGGTGTACTGTGTCACAGCATATTTGTATTATGTATAGAAAGGGTACTGTGTGTAAGTGTAAGCAAGACCCCACCCAAAAAAAAAAAAAAAAATCCTCCCAAATGTAAGTTATAAAAAAGTTTTAAAAAAAATAAAAACGTTACCAAACAATATGCCCTACTTTAACCATTACAAAACTCAAAAATTGAAATTTGCTATAACTTACAAATAAAATGACATCACCCAATATAGTATATAGTATTGTAAATAGACTTTTTACACCGTTTGGGAAGGGTTAATTTGGCTATTTTAGGCACAAAAGACAAAATAGGCTATTTTAGCCACAAAAAACAAAATATCACATCTAACTCATAATCATTACACTCTTCTCTCACAAAAAAAGTCAAAAAAGTAAAAAAGTCCTTTCCAAACCAGACTTTTTAACCCATGCTAAAATAGTTAAAAAAGCTAAAAAGTCAAAAAGTCAACCCACTTCCCAAACCAACCTTAAGGCCATGTTTGATTCACAACACTAATAGTGAGGTATTAATAATCCTATTAAATTAGTGTGGTATTAGTTATCCCACCCCTACCCCATTACTAATAATCCTACAAATTTGTTGGATTAATTATCCATTGGATTAATAATCCTAAACTAAAATGTCAAAACAAACATAGGATGATTGGGCCCACGGATTAATAATCCCAATCCTATGCTTTAATCCTTCCAATCAAACATACCCTTATGGCATGTTTGATTGGAAGGATTAAAGCATAGGATTGGGATTATTAATCCGTGGGCCCAATCATCCTATGTTTGTTTTGACATTTTAGTTTAGGATTATTAATCCAATGGATAATTAATCCAACAAATTTGTAGGATTATTAGTAATGGGGTAGGGGTGGGATAACTAATACCACACTAATTTAATAGGATTATTAATACCTCACTATTAGTGTTGTGAATCAAACATGGCCT